ATCTGTGTCCTTTCCCCACAATCCCCCTAGTAATCTGTCATTCTGCCTCCCAACCTTGTATTGTATGACTTACCTGATGTCACCCATCATTGGATGTTTAGGCTGAATGGCTCTGAATCCGTCAAGCAGACACTTGCCTACAGACTTAGCACTGGCCTGGAGTTTCTCATTACGTATCACATCCAACACAGCCATCCCTACCGCACATGCTACAGGGTTGCCACCAAACTGATCAAATAAATGAAATACAATATACACAAATTTTACAGTGAAATATTTGCTCTTAAACGCACAGTCCTATCTTGACCTGATGGCTGAATAGGACTTGTCAGCTCCAAACGGTCGACACTTCGGTCCTGTATTCATAGCAATACTCAACTCTCTAGATATATGACTCATATATAGTTATAACAGTGTTGGTTCTATACTCACAGTGCTGCTGAACTCGCGTAGAGTGTCTGCAATCTCTTTTGTGGTGACAAGCATTGCCATGGGATGACCATTTCCAAGCGGTTTTCCCACGGTAACAATATCTGGCACTACATCTGAAACAAACGACCAATCAAGTCAATAAATTTCATATCAATTTTCATTCAAACACAAATTATTTGTTCTGTTTTGGACTAATGCCTAAACTACATGGAGTCTTGGTAATGAGGAGGAAATTGTATGTGTAAAATATAATGACAGTTACGCTATGTTTGTCAATCCACCACTGATCTAGTTGTCCCACTATTAACCACCACTGATCTGGTTGTCCACTAACACTTAGCACTGATCTGGTTGTCCACTAACACTTACCACTGATCTGGTTGTCCACTAACACATACCACTGATCTGGTTGTCTGCTAACACTAACCACTGATCTGGTTGTCCACTAACACTTACCACTGATCTGGTTGTCCGCTAACACTTACCACTGATCTGGTTGTCCACTAACACTTACCATTGATCTGGTTGTCCCACTATCAACCACCATTAATCTGGTTGTCCAACTAAGAACCACCATTAATTTGGTTGTACAACTAACAACTGCCATTAATCTGGTTGTCCACTAACACTTACCACTGATCTGGTTGTCCCACTATCAACCAACACTAATCTGGTTGTCCAACTAACAACCACCATTAATCTGGTTGTTCCACTAACAACCACCATTAATCTGGTTGTCCTTCTATCAACCACCACTGATCTGGTTGTCCCAATAACAACCACCACTGATATGGTTGTCCCACTAACAACCACCATTGATCTGGTTGTCCAACTAACAACCACCACTAATCTTGTTGTCCCACTATCAACGACCAATAATCTGCTTGTCCAATTAACAACCACCACTGATCTGGTTGTCCCTCTATCAATGACCATTAATTTGGTTGTCCAATTAACAACCACCACTGATCTGGTTGTCCCTCTATCAACCACCACTCATCTGGTTGTCCCAATAACAACCACCACTGATCTGGTTGTCCCACTATCAACCACCAATGATCTGGTTGTCCATTAACACTTACAACTGATCTGGTTGTCCAACTATCAACCTCCATTAATCTGGTTGTCCCACTTCCAACCACCATCAATCTGGTTGTCCCACTTTCAACCAACACTGATCTGTTCGTCCCACTATCAACAACAACTAATCTGTTTGTCCAACTAACAACCACCACTAATCTTGTTGTCCCACTATCAACCACCATTAATCTGGTTGTCCACTATCAACCAACACTGATCTGGTTGTCCACTCTCCAACCAGTGTTTCTAATAATCTAGCTATTCGCAATCATGACATTTTCACTGGGAACATACTTAAATGTAATTGGCTAGACTATTGCAGACTCCAAGAGTCTAATTAATTTATCAGGAAACCTTGTATAACCTTACCATGTGCTTGGAATGACCAGAAGCGCTCTCCAATACGGCCAAGTGCTACTTGGACTTCGTCAGCAATACAGACACCCCCAGCTTCACGTATGTACCTGATTATAAAAGGGAACTGTTAATCAGTATGTGTACCAGGATGTCCTATTGGATGACAGCTCTTAATACATCATTTCATACAAAATCCTATTTCATGGACTTAATTGCATTACAATTGCTGGCTCCCATTACAGCCAACAAGAGTTATCAATATACAATGTAAGTCGATAAACTTGAGAAATGTTGTGAAATAAAAAAACTTCACAAAATGAATAAAATTTTCTTATACCATTTACATTCTCATGCCTAGTCATTATCTGATAATAAAGATCTTACAATTACCCTATTCCAGTAATAACATCACATATAACACTTATCTAGCACCTATTCATTATCTGATAATAAAGATCTTACAATTACCCTATTCCAGTAATAACATCACATATAACACTTGTCTAGCACCTAGTCATTATCTGGTAATAAAGATCTTACAATTACCCTATTCCTGTAATAATATACAATTATAGCATGGTGATTTCGGTCGACACATGGTTTTATCAACCTAGGTAAGCAATATTGACCGAGGACGCAGTCCTCGGTCAATATTGCACTGCGTCCTCGGTCAATATTGCTAACCTTGGTCGATAAAACCATGTATCGACCGAAATCACCATGCTACAATAGTTTTATTATTTTTTATTATTTTTGTTGTTGCTAAACTCTTGATCACTACTGCGTTTGTCTTTGACAGGCAGTATCAAGCATCCAAGTGACTTCAGTGTTAATCTTGATCATTGCTGTGTTTGTCTCCCATGGGGTGTTAATCAAGCATCTTAAATGACTTCACAAAAATTCCAGAATCTATTTATAGCAGGTCAATACCACTTTTTCTACCAACTTTTTTGAACACCTGTTCCAGAATCTATTTATAGCAGGTCAATAACACTTTTTTGAACACCTGCAAACCACTCAGGTTTATAACTACTTTTACAGGTAGTCACATGATGTTGTTTCAGCCAATCAGAGTCAGCTCAAAATCAATCAAAATAATAACATCATATATAACATAGACTATATGACAATGATGATGGATGATGGCAATGATGATGATGGATGATGGCAATGATGATGATTGAATAATTATATATGAAAGAGGATGATGACGATGATAAAGATGAATGATAATGATGATGATGATGATGATGATGGTGATGAAAATAAAACCATTGCAAAAAAAACACCATCATATATAACAGTTGTCTAGCATAACTATCTACCTATTTTCACGACACAACAAAACCTACTTGAGCATCAACATTTATGTACATAACCTTTTTCTCTGTTCAATTAAAACTGGTACCCCTACCCCCTATCCCCAACCCATCAACTCCAACAGTGACCCCCCCACCCCCCTACCCCCATTATCAGTTGAAGGTAGCCGACACTAGCTATGACGGTAAATCTGTACAACAAATGCTCTCCCTTTACAAATATCCCTTCAGACAAGACGTACATAAAAACAAGTGACACATAATTGTTTTTCAGGGGTGTACAAATTTGCATTCTTTTATGACATGTTAACATATACAGTAAGTAACAATAAGTCGACATTTTGCATTGAAATACAGAGCAATAAACCAACTGTTAGCATCATCAGATTATGCAAATTTACATGCTTGTTTCTGGTGCCTGTAAAAACATTTCAGATAGCGTATACTAGCCTTAATACCGCTTTTTGTACGTTTCAAGCATTTTAAAAATAATGTTGTTCCCTATAAAAAGGTAAACCTGTTGAGGTAATGTATTTTTTTAACGTTTTTTTTCACATTGACATGGGACTGAAGTTCTATTTGAACTTAACTTCAACCTGAAGAATGTAACAATAAAAGTTGTTTTGAATAAACAAAAGAAGTCTTTTGAGATGACACAGCAGTCATTACACAGAAAGATTTGCCACCAGATATAGAAGGACACCTAGCTACACCTTTGCATTATTCAGGGTTAAAACAGGTTTATTTTATTATTACACATAAGAAGCTGTACTAGTTTCAAACTTTACAGGGCATTATAAGCCAGCTATAAGTAGAACAATTGTACACCCCTGTGGTAAACCTTGGTACCTGAAGGCATGGTCAAGGTAGTGTTTGGGGGGAATTATTACACCAGAAAGACTCTTCAGAGGTTCCACAAGGAAAAGGCAGCAATCTGCAACAAGACACAGCAATGAGCAATCTCACACTCACAAACACTCGCAAACCATACCTGTACACGTATTTAAGGTAATTTTGTGGTGGAACAACCACACCGCAAACTGTCATCAACGGCTCACAAATAAATGCTGAAATCTGCAAAATATCAAAAGGTTCATAATTTCAAAATAACCAAAATCCAGGCCCAAGGATCCTGAAAAATCTTGGTTTCTAAATTTTTAAGTCCATATTATGTATAGACCTTTGGTATATGAGAATGTGCTTAAATAACATACATGCCATAACTTTCCTGTGCAAAATAGTGAGATCAGTGATTTTTTTAGTGAGATTTGGTCAAAAATATTGAGACATTTTCTCTGAGTTAGTGATAAATTTGTGAGACATTTAAAACAGAAGTAATACTGCATATAACATAGTTATATCACTTTTGTGTCATTCTGAAGACTTTAATTACTTTGTTGGAACCGAAATTGGAGATTAATTGATATTTTAAAGAATTTTAGGGAGGTTTCCACGTGACATATGGTCCGGATATAGCTATTAATATTTAAAAGTAAATATATCACAATACTTCTATCAAAGAAAAAAAAAAGACAATTGAAAGAACAAAAAGTTCAAGTTGGATGTCGATGTTAACCCAGGTTAGAAATATTTAATCTTCAATTGGTGAAAACAAATTAAGCAATACCTAAGACTTCCATTATTTTTATACGTATAGATTTTTGTGTGTTTCAGCAGATGCCCCAGCCATTCACAACTTTCACACCTATGCTGCTAATTGGCCTGGCCAGTAATTTAATTGACTGGCCTGTGACTTGAGATCTCTCAGTGACCAAGGTCAGTGTGAATCCATGTAGCTATTGTTTATTCACTAAGATTGACCAAACTTTACTTCTTTTCGTGAGATCGATTGAAACACATGAGAAATGTGTCTCAGGTCGCGAGATAATTTTCTTAAGTAAATTTCATGAGTCTCTCACTCAAATCATTAGATATGGCATTTAAAAAATGATCTGAAAGATATACTCTGGACAAATTTGTCAAAGGGTGAGGTCAAAGGTCAAAGCATAGGTCATATTGACCTACTATTTGAAATCTGCACTTTGCCATCCCGACATGTACTTGAACACCAAATCTGGAAGTGGATCCTGGGAAGGACAAAAAGATGACTTAACTAAATGATACAACAATACTTACTGTTCTCTTTTTATCCTTACATTTCCTAATCATCTTCTTAACTTCATTAGCATAAAGCAATCCGGGGTTGTCTGAGTCCTCCTTATAGATACCTCTATAAGTATCGGGACAGGGCACCTGTTCAATGGAAACAAGTTAGTCACTGGACAACATTTCTTGTGCATGAATTTAGGTGGGAGAGGAAACAAGTGGCTGATGTCAAAAATTCATTTAAATATATATTAACTAAAACGTATAATGTTCTCATTGCCCTGTAGAAATATTAAAAGTTAAAATATCAGAAACGTGAAGATATATAAAGCATTAGCGCTTCCATTATCTATCTTCTGATGCTGTACACATAGCTACACAGATACAACTTTTAGATTAGGACAGATACTGTAAACCAAAACATTTTTCGCTGCAGTCTTCTTTTCGTCTTTTTCATCATCCATAATAAGTGTGATATTATCATCACAGCCAAATTGTAAGCCACACATAACAAATATAGTAATTAAATGTAAAAGGCAAAGGGCCTGTTTCCAGTAAGGTTAATTCTCCATAGGAGCCTGCCCCCGTATAATTTCTTATCTAGCTCAACTACTGTTTTTTTCTTTTCCGAAGAATAATTTTACACCTTTCCGACACCCAGATTTCATAATTTCAGTGAAAATGTATTTTTATAAAGTTGTCAATTTCAGCATCAAAGACATAAGTTCGTAAATAAAAGAAGGTTATCTCGAAATTGTAATTCGCAACATAGTATAAATTTCTTTTGATAAATATTTCCAAAACATCGTGTTTATTCATAAAACAT